GGGGGGGGGGGTCAGAAACTGATCCCCCTTATCGGAAAAGGCCTTATTTGGTGGGACGTGGGCCTACATCGATCGTGATGTTTTTCAATTTTATTCAATCATTTCTTAATTTTCATATCAAATTCGGAACTCCCTTTCTTTTGAGGTAACTAGAGGACAGTGAATTTTGGAATACTCATTCAGGGATCAAATGTGATCCGGTTTTTAACCATCGCCTTTCAAGCGCCGCGATTTACCAGTTCCCAAGTTCCATGAGTCTTTCCCCGGCCTTCTTTAATTCTCCTTGAGAATTTGCCGCTTCACTTTTCTCCTTCTCCATTCTCTCCCCTTTCAGTCTCGAGGACGACCGGTAATTAATCCTCAATCTATCCGCTCCCTTTGATGGTGCTTTATTGCCCTAGAAAACTATCTAATATCCCATGAATTTCTGTGGAGGATCGGTAGAGTCCTGGCAAATTTATCTTAGCAAATTTATAGCTAACTCAAACTTTGAGTCAAACTTCTTCCTACTTTACAAAAGCATGTTGCTATTCATATAATCTTAACTGCAGTAATGTTGTTGGCGATGTTTGATAATCAGTAGGTGTTGGAAAAACTTTTCACTCATCTAATGAGGGAAGAACATCTGGCAGACGAAACGCCAGCAGCTGCTCACGTTCTGGGCACTTTTTCGTCCACTCATCGGCATTTGTAAGCGATTCCCATCTCTGATCATCTCTCTTTTCCTTTCTGTCTCTTCATCGCTCTCTGAGGCCTCTCCTACACCGAGTTTTACAATCAGAGCCATAGCACCATTGGGCCTCACCGATACACCCTGGTACCCTCCAACATCTCAGTATTCGTCGACACTCATAATTCTGACCAACTTCACCTATGGGGTACCGTATTTACCCAGTCTCTGAAGGAGGGAATATTTGTCTCGCAAGATTTGCAAGCCGGTTCAAGGAAGGGGTATAGATCTACGGGAACGGCCTAGGGAGGTAAAAGGGTAAAAAAAATGAGCAAAGGCTTTTTGGCAGAGAAAATTTTATGCTTTCCTGTTGGGTAATTACTTCTTTCCACCAATTCTAAGGTCATGTTCGTGTTCCATATTGATATAACATTTATTTGTGATTCATTTGGCTTGGCATATGCACAGTAATGATAATGACAGAGATCCCTTGCAGAGTCTTTGGGTCCCTTCAGAAATCAGAACGCATTTGCAAGTGGGCTCATGGCTACAGTAGACGGATACACCGTTTTTATCACCTCATCTACTCCAAACTTAATAGGGTTCCAACTCAAAATGAGTAGAACTTACTTTATTCCTGTTTTTTTGTCTCATTCGTGGTCTCTTACTCTTTGCACTTCCTTTCAAATTCTGTTTTTTTGTCATACTCGAAGTCTTTTATTCTCTGCATTTTCTTTCAATTCAATCTCCTTACACCACTCTCACGTTTCCTTCTTATGTCACAGATCTCTTAGGATGGTATGCCCACCGTTAGATGTTTCGACATAATGTACTTTACCCTGAAATCTCTGCAAAGCCCTGCAAATCGTTTAGTTTATTCGACACAGATGTGGTGTAATGATGATTCGGGTGCCACCGTTCCTAGTAAACATTGAGCTCGAATGGCTCCTACGTAAAAATTAGTCAACCTATCGTACCCCTTCCTCCAAATGTCTTTCAGTTTCTAGGGAATGAAGATAAATAATGGGCATTGGTCAGTCTTTTTGAGGATTGCGGAACTATGGAAGGGTAAAGTCTTTTAGCGTTGATCGAGCCCGTTTATGGAATGCGCCAACGTCTTCGACTTCCATTCAGATTCGAAGTGGCGTTCGTATTCGTATTTGGTCTATGTCATGACCTTCTGATAGTATCGCAACAAGGGTGGCATAGGCGGGTATTGGGTAAGAATTCGATCTGGGAACCAAGTGTGTGATAATGCCCTCTCACACTACAACTTCTCCGCCCATCTTAAAGATTACGCCGTGCAATCAGCTTCTATGCGAAATCGTATCGGCTTACGACATATAAAGCTGATAACTGAATCATTTTTCCTCCTCAAAAGGAATTGGAGTGTCACCTGTCTGATGCGCACCCAGGTTTCACCCACCAGATAAGCCACTTGCCATTGATATCCTTAGCCTGAATACTACGCAGCGGATATAAGTTAGCGCAACATAGCAACCGGATCGATACTCGCCCAGTCCTGACCTAGCCATACCTCCCGTTCACAGACCGTTTAACTGATACCAGTTTTGTCTGGAGGGATAAAAGCATTCATTTGCAAATGGACTGGCCTTGAATATTTTTATTTAGACTAAATACGCATCATCCAAACATGCTTATAAATGATAATCGCAACTGGGCGCATCCCCATAAGGGATTGTTTTCCAAAGTATACGATCCTGGAGGAGAATCACTTCTGGTTACGAAGCCGTTGTCACGATCTTTTCCTCCTCGACTTGTCTTCTCGTCTTTTGCACGTCTTCGTTATTATTCATACAGATGGGAAACTGATCGGAAGATGTCCTTGAAATTGATTTTATATGTATTTTAGCTGTCAGTGGGCGTCATGTCGTCCTCGTTGCTGCTTCTGGCAGCATTGTGGACGGTGACGACTGCTCAGGTGCTGACGCCAAGTCTGCTGACGATTTCGCATCGTAAACCTATTCGAGCCAGTTCCACATGCGGTGAACACAATGGGCAACCGATCAACGAAGTGTATTGTTCTCTAACAGGTACATTCTACGGCATCTTACATTAGAGCAGTAAAGGTATGACCGCTCTGAGGACCGGGTGGATAGGCGGAGTCCGCTGCTGACCGTTGGCTCTCGAGAGGAGTGTCCCACCAATGGGATGAACACAGTGCTGTACTGATCCGCCCAGTTGTTTAGGATGATAACTTTCTTTGAAGAGATGAGATAACAAAACATGAAAACCCAAAAATATATATTGAAGCGTGATGTCAGAAAAGTCGCTTTTGTCCGATTTTTTCGAAACTGGACCATGTGTTTTAGGCTCCACACAATATTCACCACTGAACTACTACTCATATCAGGATGACACCACACATCCACTGGCTTACAGAGAAATGCGCCAGGAGCGCGAAGCATTCATCCAGGTAGGCTCGACCTAGTCAGAATATTTCAAAGAGATTCGACTAGGACCAAGAAGGATCAAAAACGTAAAGATTGCTAACATCCTAATGCATTTGAGTGAATGGGCGATACTATGGGGTGTAGAAATATCATTCACTAGAGGAGGCGCCCTCTATTACAACTAGACAGCTTTCGCACTAGGGTATAGAAGAACGATCCCCTAATGAACCTTCCGACATTACTCCTTGGTCACAGAGTACTCTCTATAGAACTTCGCCTTCAGGGCGGTCATGGATGTGGCCATTGTATGGCTGGCACGGAAAACGCTCATCCGGCTGAGAACATGGTTGACGGTAATACCAGTTGGTGGCAGTCTCCACCATTATCAAGAGGAATGGAATTCAATCATGTGAACATCACTATTGATCTTGAGCAGGTCGGGATTATAAACTTTTGCATTTATGGACACAATTTTGAGTCCGACTCCCCAGGCCAAGCTGACGAGATCGGGGCCTGTAAGAGAATATTATTTTTAATCCTTCTCGTTCAGGAGTTCCACGTGGCCTACGTTTGGATCCAAATGGCCAACAGTCCGAAGCCAGGGACATGGATTCTGGAAAGATCAACTGATTACGGAAAGACATTCCAGCCGTGGTACTACTTTGCTGAGACACCTGCTGAGTGCATGAGGGTAAGAAGCCTAAGTAACCACGCAGTTTGGTTGCTCCCTTTCGAGAGAATGAGTCTTAGCCACTCTAAAAAGAAAAAAAGAAAAAAAGAAGTAACCCTTGCACTGGAACAAAATTTAACTTCTAGGCATATCCCTGATTTTAAATTTCCATATTCATTTATATTTCCAGCGATTTGGGATGGAATCCCTGTCACCTATCTCTGAAGATGATCGAGTTGTCTGCCGATCGGATTTGGCTGGGATACATCCGCTTGAGAACGCTGAGGTCCGAGATTTTGAACAGCTTTTACAGTAGTTTGATTATCCTATCTAGTATAGGGAATCACTACTACCACTTGGGATACCCTGACATGATCGTTATACCTTCCCTCTTCAGATGGTGATCAAAATTCTCGAACATCGCCCGAGTCGTTTCAAATTTTCATCGTCAGAAGCTCTTCAAAACTTTACCAGAGCTACAAACGTCCGTCTACGCCTTCTGGGAACTCGAACACTTCAAGGACATCTGATGGACTTGAACGACAGATCTGATCCGACGGTTACCAGACGGGTAAGTGGACTTGTTCCGAGGAGCTTTTCTCTGAAAGAAGGCTCATAAAAGATAATTTCTCCCCATTTACCTGAAGTTAATGGTGATTTCTCAGTACTTCTACTCAATCAAAGAAATTCTGATGGGTGGACGATGTGTATGTAACGGTCACGCTGGTACTTGCGACATCTTGGACCCAAGAAGGCCACGTACTTTACTCTGCAGGTACTGTAACGATTGATTGAATCCTTGTTACTGCTAGTAATTAGAAAGTATCGTGAAAATAAAATGTTGATAACAATTTTAGATGCGAGCATAACACCTGTGGTGATATGTGTGAACGATGTTGTCCAGGATTCCTCCAGAAAAAATGGCAACCTACCACGGCCCATAATAACTTCACCTGCGAACGTAAGTTCTGCTTCTGGTAGATCGCTCCTCTCGAGACGCGATAAAAGCATAAAGCGTAGTGTAAATGCCCATAAGCTACTAGGAGCTTTTCGCTTCCCGGATGAATGATATAATAATTCAGCTTGCAACTGCTTTGGACGATCCGACGAATGTGTCTATGACGAGGACGTCTTCGTAAATAGACTTTCTCTCGACATTCATGGAAATTACGAAGGTGGTGGTCGATGTCTGAATTGTCGGGTGAGCTCTTCATCCCTCCATTCAATTTCATTTTTTCGAACAACGCGGAAGGTATCAACTGTAATAAGTGTTCAAGTGTAACAAGTGTGCATTCGGTTGTTTTTCGAAGAGATGACTTAGGGGTTNGCTCTTTACCCCTCCATTCAATTTCATTTTTTCGAACAACGCGAAAGGTATCAACTGTAATAAGTGTTCAAGTGTAACAAGTGTGCATTCGGTTGTTTTTCGAAGAGATGACTTAGGGGTTCTGTAAGTTACGGATTGAAAGCCCACAAATCCCTACCTTCTCAGGACAACACGGAAGGTGTCAACTGCAATAAGTGTGTGTTCGGTTACTATCGACAACATGGTGTTCACTGGAACGACACGATGCCTTGCAAACGTAAGCAGCTAACAAAAATACTAATAGTAATAGTAATTATTAATAATAGTAAAATACATATGTTAGTTCTTCGTGAAGCGAGATGGGCCATTTTCTTCCACTTTGGAAGGATCATTTCTGAACTGGCTTCTTTTCAGCATGCAGATGCGACCCGAACAAGCACACCGGTGATTGTGAAGAAGGCACCGGTAAATGCTTTTGCCAGCCACGATTCCAAGGGGATAATTGCGATCAGTGCGCTCCTGGTTACTACGATCCACCAGAGTGTAAACAATGTGAATGCGCAGTAGACGGCACATTGGATGGGACTTGTTTGGTACGGTTTCATTTGTTTGTTTACTTCAAGGAGCAAACTACCCGCAGTCTTATGAACAGCAGAAGTCCTGTTCAGTTTTTCTAGGGATGTTAGAAATAGATATAGCTCACTCCTATCTATTGGTCATTATTAAAAACCGAGAGGCAACACCAAAAACTCAAAATTATCAAGGTTAAGACTCCGAGGTACCGTGAGCAGAGGCTATTCATATTGGAATTTCATTTAGACTCTCAGATGATTTTACCTGAACCTAGTTTTAAAGCCACTGCTTAGGTCGCTACTTCGATAGCTGAGTAATGGCAATATAATTTTTCAGCCCGAAGGTGGTCAGTGCCCTTGTAAGCCTGGTTTCGGTGGCACATTCTGTGAAACATGTGAGCCCGGTTTCACGAACGTCACAGCTGGCTGCAAAGGTAATTCATCAAATGTTCGTATAGGAGAAAACTGACTTAAGGCAGTTCCTTGTAGAAGTATTGATTGATATTGATCGATCTGTAAAACTCAGAACATCATAGATCTTTCACCGAACTGCTTTAGAATGTGTTTGCGATGAGACCGGTGCTGCACACACGAATTGCTCCGCCACGACTGGACAATGTGTTTGTAAGCCGTCGTTCAGCGGCCTTCATTGTGACAGCTGCCAGATTGGCTTCTATGGGTTCCCGAACTGCACTTGTAAGTCTTGCTCAGTGGATAGGTTGATCCATTCAAAGGTTTGAATAAGTAAACAAGTTTTCAGTCTGCAACTGCGATCCTGTTGGTACTGAAGGGGGCATATGTGATCAACATTCGGGACAATGTATGTGTAAAGATGGATTCGTTGGAGAGAAATGTGATCAATGCGATATTGGTTACTATGGGTATCCAAATTGTAAAGGTAAATATCGGTACCAAAATTGGCTTCGGACGCGAACCACAGCAACAAACACCTTAACCAAGCCGGAGTTTTTTGGCAAATACTCGGATGCACAGCGTGCTCTGATGAAGCAGACCAATCGATCGGTACTTCCAGGGGTTCTAAAATAGCTTATTCAAATTTTCAGAGTGCAACTGTATGGGAGCTGGTGCTAAGGCTCTGGAGTGCGATGCAACCACTGGTCAATGCCCATGCTATGCTAATTTCACGGCTAGGACTTGTGACAAATGTGCTGTCGGGTTTTATGACTACCCTAATTGTAAAGTAAGTTTTTTGCAGCCTTCATGAGGTTTATTTTCTTCTATACAACATAAAGACCAAAATAAAAAACAAATAAAAGTCAAATAAATAAAAATAAAAACTGCCATAAGGAACGTTTTCGAAAGTTCGCCATTGACCGATAACTATAGGTTTTTCAAAATATAGCTAAAATTTCTTATATGTAATTCGTGAATTGAATCAGAATTTTGACTTACAACCTTGGTTTCCAGGCCTGCAGCTGTCTGATAGAAGGAGCCAAAGGACAAGCGTGTGACAGCAAAGGGCAGTGTTACTGTAAGGGCAATTTCGAGGTAGGATATTCTTGGAAATTCCACTTTTTAAAATATCATTTCTATCCCAAATATGTGAAAATGAACTACGAATCCAAATAATAGAGTTTAAAATAGAAATCACCTAAGAATTGAACAAGTTTTAAAACTTGGGATTCCGTGCTACTTGTCTATGTAATCCATAAATATAAATTAAAATATTAAGAAGTCTCTTCAGGGAGAGCGCTGTGATCGATGCAAACCAAATTTCTACAACTTCCCTGCTTGTGAAGAATGTAATTGTCATCCAGCTGGAGTAACGCCAGATTTTGCAGGATGTGACAAGGTGCTTTTTGATTTTTAATATTCCCTTATTTCACTTTTCCTTAGCAGCAGGACTGAGTTAGAATTCGTGGTCGTTCGTCCAGTGTAATGAGCATTGTATTCCACTGCTAACTTGCAAGGGGTGGAAGCGGGCGCGGTCGCGGGAGTGTCAGTAAGACAGCTTTGAGGTCCTTCGTAGCCGCTGTCCACCTCTAATGCTAGAATTTGAACTAGGAAACCATGTTCTTACACACTCGACCGATTTTAGAGGGTTTCTGACAATCTTTCTCTAATTTTTCCTTTTGATGGGAAAAGTGAACGAACCAATCGATACCTAATTTTCCGTTCTATTCCAGGTACAACCAGGAGAACTGTGCTCATGTAGAAAGAACGTTGATGGTAGAATTTGCGACCAATGCAAGCCAACCTTCTGGGACCTACAATATCACCATACCGATGGATGTATCGGTAAGACGGAAGCCAACATTTTTTACGACAAAAGATTACCTAAAGCTTTTCAGAGTGCGACTGTAATCTGAATGGTACATTGGCGATGTTGAATACGTGTGATTTGAAGTGAGTTTTTTTTTNTTTTTTTTTCAGTGGTACACTTTTTTTGGCTCAAATGCAGCCACTATGTGGATGATAAGGGCAAAGATGCAGAGCACTCCCTCGCTGTCTGGCGCATTTTCTGGTCCCCTTATCGACTATAGCAGACTCATCACCGAGAAAACGACATAGAATGAACTCTAAAAGTCTCGAATCAAATCAGCTGTATCATTTGTCGTCCCACTTTTCATCGATTTGCTGGAGCGAGCGCCAGTAACATCTTCATGTGTCCCTTCACAAACCAATGTAGTCTAGTGCTCCACTTTAGGGGTAACTTCGTGGAGCTGGGCTGGAATGGGAATAGTCCGCGTGGGATCACTCTCGAGACCTGATCCATGGGCATAGCGGCGCCTTTTGTTGCAATTCCTGGAAGTAGCTGATCGGTTACAGGTCTGGACAATGCCACTGCAAGCGTAATGCTGCTGGACGACAATGTGACAAATGTGCTGATGGGTTCTATAACCTGGAAGGCTTTAATCAGCTGGGTTGCCAACGTGAGTCTCTTTCACTAGTGGTTTAGTCAAGTAGTTTAATGGGATTCCATTAGATTTGCGAGTTTTCAGCTTGCAACTGCGATATTGGTGGAGCTCTCAGGGCAGACTGCGATGGTGTAACTGGGCAGTGCCGTTGCCGTCCACGTGTCACTGGATTGCGATGTGACAAACCGATTGACAACCACTACTTCCCTACCTTATGGCATCATCAGGTACCCTACAGCCTTTTTAAATTTCCTAACGAAATTATTAAGAGTAACGTCCACGTCATTCCAACGCGCCATGCATTCTATTTTCCTCCTAAACCCATGTAAAGTTTGGTCGCGATTTCGGCTTAACCACCGAATTTATTGGATTGTCGATGTACGTTTTGTTGCCCTCCAACGCTATCCCAGTACCCAATAGTGGAGTTATTAGGGAAAAGTCCATTTTGCCTGAATAGGATTCGATCCACAAGGTCTGCATGAGATCGTGGGTCAGCTCCCATCTGCTCACATTTCACATTGCGATACAGCAACCAAATCGACTCCCATTCGTTTTAGTACGAAGCTGAGGATGGTCATACAGACGACCAGCGGCCAGTTCGTTTCGCTGTCGATGAATCACAGTTCCCATCATACAGCTGGAGAGGCTACGCAGTGTTTTCACCAATTCAAGAAAAAATTGACATGGACATCGATGTGGCCAAGGTATTCTGGAAGGTGTAATGCCCTATTTCAGATTATGCTAGAAAATGTTCGTTTTCTAGGCATCTGTCTATCGACTTCTGTTCAAGTACCATAATCCAACTATGGTACCAATTACAGCTGTTGTAGACGTTGCACCAAAAATGACGCATACGCAGGGTGAGTTATTATGGAGAAGCCAATTCTCCAAGTGGCGCGTAGCTTATAAGTTATAGGAATAGAAGAGACTGGAATTAGGTCCTGAACGGAATATAAGAAACATTCCCGCTGCGAGTGCTAAGACTCATCGATAGAGAGTGGAAAAATAAAAAATTAACGATTACATACATGGAAATTGGGTTGTCGAAAAAACTGATTTTCCGTTCTGTTGAAGTATTAGCGCCCTCCGGCCCCAGGCCGTTCTCGCATCTCAGCTCCAGAGAGTTAGAGCGTAACTGTAGTACCATGCCACTTTTCCACCTATGCATACGTTTTTTTGTTGTTTCATCATTTTTGATAGGATTTTCCAATTCCTGGTTACTGTAGACATTGCACAATCGGAAAAAGTCACCTTTGCCCCAACGGACTCGCCATCAGTCAAAGAAGTGACTGTCGCTGGGAAGCCGTTCGTTCTGAATCCTGGAAAATGGACGCTTAGCGTTGGCACGAAACAACGACTATTCCTGGTAAGTCCATCAGAGTCGAGGATTTACCAGTAGCAACCAGGCTGCTCTTGATTATTCCTTTGTTTAAGGACTATGTGGTCGTACTGCCTGCAGAGTACTACCTCGGCACTATTCTGAAAGAACGTGCAGCCCCACCATGTGAAGCGAACAACGCCCATAACTCGACATGTGTAGATCTTCTCTATCCTCCGATGGCTATAGCGGCTAGGGTTGATGTCACCGAGAATACGGACACATTCAAAGAAGTAAAGATGGATGGCACGACATCCGACTTGAGTATGGTCAGTTTTTGGCCCTGAAAGCTACTAAACGATCAAAAATTATTAAGTCAGTAAGGTCTAAAGCGCTCCAGTTCGTCGGTATCACTAATAGCTCTTCAGGTGCCTATAGAGTTACTCCCTGAGATCATTGGCCCGGCATCCTATGTTCAGACAGGAGATGAGGGTAAAGTCATTGAGGTAAGCAGCCGGGCAGGAAACTTAGCTGATTTAAAGGTCTAGCAGGGTCATGTTATCCATATTCAGACCAAAATCGAGGTGCCCGAAGACTATGACTATGCAGTAGTCGTGGAATACCACAATCACAGGAGATCTCGGCTCCCTGTAGCCGTTGAAGTGGATCAAGAAGGAAATGTGAAACTGAACGGCACTATCACTATCCACAACTGCCCTTTTGCGTAAGTCTCATCTAGAAAAGCGCTAGAAGACTCAGCGTACTGTAGAAGACATACCGTATATACCGTATCGCACTTTCAGAACATTCTGCCGTGAAGTGGTATCAGAAGGCGGCATGGTAGCTACGATCCCGTTGAAGAAAGGACCGGCCACAGTTCAGCTGCATGTACCACCATCGGCTGATTTCGGACTCGCCTCTATAAATCTGATCTCTAAGAATGAATGGAATAAGGAGTATCTCCAACAGGTATCTTTGGTTTAATGATGACCTAAGTGAAGTGGGACCTATGTCAATTTGTAGGTACCGGTATGTATACGTAAAGACGGGCGATGTGTTCCTCAACAGTATCCACCGGCTGGAAATTCGATTGTAGCTGAAGCAGAAGCTGGTCAAGTCAGTTGTTATGCTTTAGTGACAACACCTTGTAGCTTGAGGTTAGAATTGTCATTTAATCAACTTGTTCACGCTTTCAGGAAGATCCGATATCAGGAGACAAACTACCATTCCCTATAGCAAATCCTAAAGACGTGGTTGTAATGCCGTTGGATGAGAGCCAGGTAATGCCAAAATGATTGTTTGTGGCCAAATTAGTCTAACATTCCTGGAAAAATCTCAATTGGTTAAAAGGTGCAGAAGTAGTTAAGGATTCGTATAGAGCGTATGAAAACCTCCCATGGACGCGAGTACGTCAAATATGTCGAAACACTTTTTTCAGGGAACCCTCGAAGTGACCGGTGTCGTACCTGCTCGTGGTCATTATATGTTCCTCGTGCACTATTTCAATCCAGATAATACTCCACTCAATGTTGGTGTGGTGTTACAGAATGATCACTTCTTCGAGGGTAGGCTATACTTCTTACAGGTTCCTTCTGATGTCACCGCTTTATACAATCCTTCAGTGGCTTCGATTTCAAAGTAGCTTTTAGCCAAATTCCTCTTCCTGATAAACTCCCTTTGTGTGCTGTAGTCGATTCAAGAGTGCAGCAGATCTGTCGATGACTAATCACGTCATTTCACTCCTCTAGACACCTCGATGCGCTTCATTTTCGGCGTCCAATCTTCCCAGAGGCAAATTTCTATGCTTTGGAGCCGCCTTCATAGTCCAGTTCAGTAGCGCTTGTAGTGTATTATGGCATAAATATCGATTTTACGCAGTTCGTCCTAGTTCAGTAGTTCGTTTCTAGATAGAGCATGCGTGTATGTAGTAGAGCGGTACATTTTGGTACATGTTTTACTGGAATGATTCAATGTTCGACCTAAACAATTCTATATAAATGGCGGTCCCCAGTCTTGAACATGGTACACCCGGCGAGACAACTAGCTAAAAATCGCCGCGCAGTAACTTATTCATATGTGGGCCACATAGACAAAATGAAAAATCGAGATTTGCATAGCCAGTGACTATGCTATTAGCTATAACTGAAAGCATTCAGAAATCAATAACTGAATGCTTCAAGTGAGAAAATTATTAGTAATCGATAATCAGAGATTTTCAGAAGATGAAGCGATTCCGCTTGAACACATAGGTCTGTCTATTTGCTTTCTTTCTCGCCATTCCCTGCTAGCCGTTCCCCCCAGCTTTTGCTTGATCGCTTTTTATGAATGATGCTCTCGCGCTCTTTGGGATAGAACTTTGCTACTTTTCAAAAGTAAAACTATCTTTTCCAGCTACCGTACCATTGGCGTACTGCCCATCTGTTAGCGGATGCAGGGCGCTGATCAGAGATAAGGAGAAGCCAGAGGTGACTTTTTGAAGTAATTATTCTATAAATATTCCATTAGGGAACTTAAGCTTAAAGCGGAAATTTTTCAAAAAAATTAATTAGTCAAAGATGCTTCTTGGTTTTTTCTATAATAGGAAGTATCGGAAATACAATCACGATAATTTTTTCGTTGCAGGTGATCCAATTCTGGATGGAGGACAAATACACAGCGACTCTCTACCATAACAACACTCAAAAAGGACCAATCTTCATTGTAAGCGTTTGGAAATTTCACTGAAAATTAGGCAGTTTTTTTAGAAGCTGCTAGATTTTTGTTAAATTAGCTTATGCACAAATCTTATCGGAATTACAGGTCCTGGATAAAGCGTTTATGAGATAGGAAGCCAAAAATGCATCTGGGAACCTTTCGCAAACACCTTTCTAGCATTTCTTGTCCCAATGTCCACACCCCACCAATTTCAGGATTCGATTACTGCCGTACCATTCCATTCCTACAACGAGAACCTGATGAAACCGTTGCCTATCGACCTCTCCTCGGAATTCATTCAACAATGTAGCGCTGATTTCTATCAGAATGAGTACGTTCTGGCTGCCTTTTAGCCCCTACCTAACCCAAGAAAGTTTTTTATAATCGAATTCCGTTCAGTCCTCAAACCGTCAGCGATTTCTGCCGTGAAAAGATCTTCTCATTGACTACAGACTTCAATGCAGCTGCATTCTCGTGTGACTGTAATCCAAGGGTATGGAAGTGATTACTGGCAACATCGTCAGTAATCGATAAGGCTACAGCAGCTCCTTTACAGGGCTCCGAATCGTTCTGTTGTGATGAGTATGGTGGGCAATGCAAGTGTAAGCCGAATATCATTGGCCGTCGTTGTGAACGATGTGCTCCTGGCCATTACAACTATCCAGAATGTATCAGTAAGTTACCACTTTCTTAGTTATTGCATGGCTTACCGCCACCATCAGTTCGAACTGGGTGCATTTCCCACTACCGTCATCCCACTCAAGAGCTGGATACCAGTTCATCCAATGGGTTGTTTGAAGAATTTTCCGATTAGTCATATGTCATTCAAGGTAGAATGGGTCGAGACACCAAAGATCCCATCATTCTCTTGAACATCAAAACAGTAAAGTGGGCGGTATAGTGCTGAAGGGGTTGAAGGGAGCTGGCATTGAAAGGGCGTCTAATGGACGAGTTGTCCGGCCGGATCAAATAGCAAAATTTCAACATATCGTTTTCAGAATGTAAATGCAGCGTTGGTCAACAATGTGATGAACAGACTGGTCAGTGCTTCTGCCCGCCACATGTCGAAGGCACCTCCTGCGATAAGTGCGTGAGCTATGCGTTCGGATACGATCCTCTCATCGGGTGTCAGAAGGTCCGTTATTCCTCTAAATTCTTTGATGATCTTTTAATGTAAGCGGATGGAGAAAAACGTGAGTTCGACTCCGAAGCAATACCAATTTTCAGTGCGGCTGTCACATACAAGGTTCTGAAGGCGCTTCACTTCAATGCGACCCCAATAGTGGGCAATGCTTGTGAGTTCTTCAAAAATAGTAATTGACAGAAAATGGCCAATCTTCAACCTCTGTATTCTTTCCTTCACAGGTGTCGCGAATCGATCGGTGGTCGCCAGTGCGACCGTTGTCTGGCCGGATTCTATGGTTTCCCTCACTGTTACAGCTGTAGATGTAATGCTGCAGGAACTACCGAGGAGATCTGTGATCCATCCACAGCTCAATGTACTTGTAAGGTACGCAACCCAACAAATAAGCTGATTACCGTAATGAATTGCAGAAAAAAATTGAATTCCAGGAAAATGTCGGCGGTGCAGGATGTGACACTTGTAAATCGGGTACATTCGATTTATCACCGGATAATCCAAAAGGATGTATTAACTGCTTCTGTTTCGGTACAACCGATCAATGCCGTTCCAGCATGTTCCCTGTCTCTATTGTCAGTTTGGGGTTTTCCTTCGCTTCCTTCTTTGGTGTACCCACTTGGCTAAGAATCAGTTTCAGAGTTCTGTTGATATGTCCATGTTTACCACTAACGATCCTTCTGGAGTACTAGATTTCGAGAATGACATCGTCACCTACACAGCCACAGATAACTCAACAGCTAGTGTCTACTTCAATGTTCCTATAGAACACGGCGCTGACTATACAACCAGTTATGGTCTACTGGTAAGTTTCTGTATGAATGTGATCAAAAATCAGGAATTTCCAGAATAATAATAGGTATTGAGCATGTCAAAATAAAGGAACGGGAAAAGATCCTGACCATGTCCTTGTAATATAGTTATAATCAAGTACACTGGGAGAGGAATGGTACTCGGAAGACAGGTTTGTCAACAACGGAGACTCTGAAGTGGAGCTATTCCCGCCTTTCAATGGCTGTCCCGCCCACCTTTTTCTATGTAGCCTTCGATGCGGGGGCTCTTCGATGAGTGTCCTGGACCTGGGGAGGATAAACAGGTGGAATACCTGTAAGACGCATTTATGACATGCACAAACCTGAAACTCAAAGAAAAAACATGTAAATACCTGTTTCCTAGTAAGAGGTCACACCCAGGCAGAAACAGAGTGGGGAAACGGAGGGAAACTCGTCCAATTTCCATTCGCGGGCAACCTTCGGTCCTCTTCATTATTTTTTTATTAAAAAAATGTCCAAAGCTCGATAATCTAGGCTTCCATATCTAACATTTGCTTTCAGTTATATTTCCAACTATCTGTTCAACCACGAGATGAACACCCACGGATGAGTACTGATGCTGATGTTCGCCTTTATGGTAACAATATGACTGCNGCTACTAAATGATCAAAAATTATCAAGCCAGCGAGGTCTAATGCGCTCCAACTCGTCGGTATCACTAATAACTCTTCAGGTACCCATAGAGTTACTCCCTGAGATCATTGGCCCGGCATCCTA